TTTGTTTTGTTTTGTTTTGAGACGGAGTCTCGCTCTGTCGCCCAGGCTGGAGTGCAGTGGCCGGATCTCAGCTCACTGCAAGCTCCGCCTCCCGGATTCAGGCCATTCTCCCGCCTCAGCCTCCCGAGTAGCTGGGACTACAGGCGCCCGCCACCACGTCCGGCTAATTTTGTTTCTGTATTTTTAGTAGAGACTGGGTTTCACCATGTTAGCCAGGATGGTCTTGATGTCCTGACCTCTTAATCCGCCCGCCTTGGCCTCCCAAAGTGCTGGGATTACAGGTGTGAGCCACTGTGCCCGGCCTGTTTTGTTTTGTTTTTTGAGACAAAGTCTCACCCTGTCACCCAGGCTGGAGTGCAATGGCGCAATCTTGGCTCACCGCAACCTCTACCTCCCGGGTTCAAGCAATTCTCCTGCTTCAGCCTTCCAAGTAGCTGGGATTACAGGCTTGTGCCACCAGGCCTGGCTAATTTTTTGTATGTTTAGTAGAGATGGGGATTCACCATGTTGGCCAGGCTGGTCTCGATCTCCTGACCTCGTGATCTGCCCGCCTTGGCCTCCCAAAGTGCTGGGATTACAGGTGTGAGCCACTGTGCCCGGCCTGTTTTGTTTTGTTTTTTGAGACAAAGTCTCACCCTGTCACCCAGGCTGGAGTGCAATGGCGCAATCTTGGCTCACCGCAACCTCTACCTCCCAGGTTTAAGCAATTCTCCTGCTTCAGCCTTCCAAGTAGCTGGGATTACAGGCTTGTGCCACCAGGCCTGGCTAATTTTTTGTATGTTTAGTAGAGTTGGGGATTCACCATGTTGGCCAGGCTGGTCTCGAACTCCTGACCTCGTGATCTGCCCGCCTCAGTCTCCCAAAGTGCTGGGATTACAGGTGTGAGCTGCTGTGTCCGGCCTGGGAGGGGATTTTTGAACTAGGTTTTGACAGTTGCATAGGAGTTTGCTGTAGGAAACAGAACAGGCAAAGGCCTGGAGATGGAGAGAACTTAGAACAAACATGCCTGGATGGAGTGAGGTTGGAACTTTAGGGGAGAGGAGAAGGGGAGGGAGCAAGAG